TTTCTTTATTTTCGTTATTTCTATTTGTTGTTTAGTTTTATTTTGTTGTTAGTTTACTTTTTTAGTTTATTTACGTTAATTTAATTAGTGACAACTAAATGTTATTGACTTAAATTTTAAAAAGTAAGTAAAAAAATAGTAAAGGTGAAAGTAGTAGTAATCCTAATCCTAGTCCCAATCCTAACCCTTATCCTAGAATTAGAAAACATATAGATGAAATGACTCATGTTGATGAAACTTCACTTTCCCAACCCCCCGAAATTTATGATGTTAATGTCGGAGAACAACTAGATCATGAAACTTTACAAAGACAATTTGGCAATGATATTTTTTTTGAGGATGAAGTAAATGAGGAAGAAGAATTAGATGAAACACCCACTAGTCCCACAACACAAGCTCCAACTCAGAGTCAATCTCGGTCTGGAGCTTTACCCCCTGTAAGGAGTAAGCCTAAGGCTGAACGTCCCAAAATATCACTTGTATGGAATTTTTTTAAACATGATAAAGTCAATCATCGTGCTATATGTGAAAAATTTAAGCAACAATTTGCACACACAACAAGTGGTGGGACGGGGGGTTTAAATAGACACTTAAGAAAGGATCACAAATCTTTATGGATACAAGCTAACATAGAAGCCGAAAAAATTATAGATCCTACCATCGGTACTGGCACTCCTAGTGGATCTGGTTCTAATCAAATTCAACAACAACTTGACCCTGCTTCTGGTCATGTTTTACGCCCATATAACAAAGATAGAGATCGTGAGAACTTAGCAAAAATGGTGGCCGTCTGTGGCTTACCATTTACTTTTCCTTCTCATCCTGCTTTTGTGCATTATATACAAGAAACTTATAACCCTGCTTTTCAAGGTTTTCCTAAGACCACGGTTAGAAATGATGTTTTTAAATTTCAAACCGAATATCTTCAGTATATTCGTTGTGTATTTTTTCACTTAGATTGTAAAGTGTCTATCACATCTGATATAGGTCGTAGTCCTAATGGTTGTGATTATTTAACTGTTACATGTCATTAGGTTGATCATCACTGGAACATGCAAAAACGTATTATTGGTTATAAATTTGTTGATTCAAAACACACTGGAGCATATATTGCAACTACTGTTCTAAAAATACTTGATTTTTATGGACTCATTGATAAAGTTTTAACTATCACCTTAGATAATGCTTCTGCTAACACAACCGCAGCAAATAGCTTAAAATTTAGACTTTGTCCAATTAATCTAGCAATTTTTCATGTTAGATGCGCATGCCATATTTTTAACTTGATTGTAAAAGATGGTCTTAATTTATTTTCTGATGCTTGTAGTAAAATACAACATGCTTGTGGCTATATTTTTCGTGCTAATAAAGCGAGTAAAATTCGTGAATTTGCTCAACAATGTGCTAGTGCTAACCTTCCATTTAGAAAAGTTCCAAAAGATATTTGTACTAGGTGGAATTCTACTTATGAAATGCTTAAAGTTGCTTATGACTATCGGGTGCCTATCCAAAAGGTATTTAATATGCATAAAGGTATCCCCGCTAATCAAATTGTTGATTCTGATTGGGATGAGATCAAAGAGCTTACTAAATTTTTAGAAAAATTTTATTATGCTACAAAATTATATTATGGTATATATTATCCTAATGTTACACAAATATTATGGTATATTGTGGGATTTGTGTTGTATTTGCTAAGTATAAAACAAATCCAACTTATGCACTGGCCATTAATGAAATGATTTCAAAATTTAAACAGTATTTTTTTCCTATTCCGATTTAATTTCTACTCTACTTAACCCATCTTTAAAACTAAGAGGTGCAAAGGGACTTGTTAGTAAAATTTATGAGAATTTAGCAATTCAAGAAAATGAACAACCATCTCTCGAAGACTACAACCTAGCATATATTCTTATGCTAGATCAATGTTTGATAAATATAAATCTATGGATACAACAGGTTGTGAAACTGCTCCTTCTACTTCTAAGTCTAGAGCAGAAGTTTTATGAGAAGATATGGATGATATAACAAGTTTTGATTCCTCTATTGATGATGAACTTGATTCTTATCTTAATCAAGGATTGGAAAGTATTAAAGACGTAGAAGGCATGGAATAACTTTTGTCATGGTGGAGGGAGCGTGGCAAGGCTTTTCCAACACTTTCAATAATGGACCGAGATATCCTGGCTATTCAAACATCATCAGTAACATCGAAGAGTGCTTTTAGCGCGGCAAGATTTCAAATTGGAGATCATAGACATGCATTAGCGAAGGACAGTCTATTTCCGTATTATTCAGAGATTGGATTAATTCAGAAAAAAGAAATCTTGATTTTAAAAAATTAACCACTAGGGAAGAAGAAGAATACAATGAGATACTTAGCACTGGGAGCGTTAATGGCATGGAGCTCATGGAAAATCAATCAACATTGCCAATTCCAGCAGAATGTCCAAGAGATATTATTGATAAGTTACAAAGAAGCTATATAGGAGCTTACAAATATTAGTATGATAATTTGCAATTGGCTACTAAGAGGCCTAGTTCAAACAGAACCCTTCCTAGAAAGTGGATGCGTAGATTAGGTGCTCTTCAAAAGAATTATATTTGTATTTGAGATTTGAAAGTTCTATTACTAAAATAAAAGGCTCTAAACGTTGATTTTTTTTATGAATTGTCTTAGTTACTTAATACTTTGAAATTATATTAAATAAACTATAACTATGTTATAAATTTATAATTACTAGAATATTTCATTACAAGTCTTTTGTTTTAATATTTTATAATTCTTTACTTAGTTTTCTAATTTTCGTTTTAACATTTAAGTTTATTAAATAAGTCAAAAATCTAGCTGTTGCAAACTTTAAAAACATAGTAATTTTCAAAAAAACTAGACGTTTTTAAAAAAAAATACACTTAAGGCCCACGAACCCGTCCCGTCCTGTCTCATCCTGCCACTGTCCTACTTAAATGCCGTCCCGTCCCGTCCTGTTAATTTCGTCCCGTCCCATCTCGTCCCGTCCCGTTGGACAGCCATAGGCTGAGCTGAGACATGGCTTCCTATGCATGGCTGAAATTGGGCAGAATCAGCAGATACTGTTGCAACCACTCTCTTCCCTTTGTTGAACTTAAAATTCTGTGGGAACCCATGAAGTTTGTAGCATTTGTCAATTAGGTGCCCAGGCTTCTTACAATACTTGCAAAACATGTTTCCCTTTGAATGATCAAAGTCTACCTTTTGATTGTATTGTTTAGGGGGAAATTGTTGCTTCACATTCACATTAGCATTGAAAGATGCTGATTCTGGTGTTAACTGTGGGTTGAATTGAACTTGTCTTTGACTTTCATCTTGAAGAAGGATATTGTAAGCACTGTCTAATAAAGGAGGAGGTTGCATCATCAGTAAATTACTCCTCACACCCACATACACTTCATTTAACCCCATAAGCAATTCGTGTAACTTGTCCTCTTCTTCATCCCTCTGAATACCAGGCTTTGCAGCACAAGCACAACAATTTCCATGATTTTTGCGCATTGTTACAAGTTCATCCCAGAGCCTCTTTAATTTGTTAAAATATGAAGCAACATCAAGAGAACCTTGCTGAGTAGAACCTAATTTCCTTTTTATCTCAAAAATTTTAGTTCCATTTACCGTCCCATACCTATGTTCTAACTGCTTCCAAATACTTTCAGCTGACTCCGAGTATTGTACACTTTCAACAATAGTTGGTGAAAGAGAGCTAGTTAACCAGGAAATAACTATATTGTTGCATCTGTCCCATTGACGAATCATCGCAGGATTTTCATCAGCCATTGGCTTAGAACAGGATCCATCCACAAAACCTATTTTGTTCTTGGCCGACAAAGAGACTATCATACTCCTTTTCCATCCACCATATCAAGACCCGTTAAATGGAGTACTAACTAAACAAGTTCCAGGATCAAAAGAGTGAATGAAAAGGGGACTAGAAGGGTCTGGTGTATATATAGTGGTTGTACTAGCACTAGGAGCAAGAGGAACTTCAGAATTCACCATCTTAACACTAGATTGTGTAGGGAAACAAGTCAATTAAGCAGATTGAACATTCAATTTCAGAAAAAAAATGAAATTGGGGTTACCTACTTTCTTCACCGAATCAAAAATTAGCAGTCAGTTACTCCGAGCTCAAAGAAATCCACGGCGAATAGCAGAAACTCTGCAGAAATCAAAGAGAAACAAAAAAAAATGGTCTCCAAAACAATCACCAAACACAGAACAGAAAATGATAGAAGAAAAAGAAAAACTCTAAATCAAATCACAAGGGTATGATCGATCGAAAACGTATGGTTAGAGTAATCACAATCCCGCTCTGATAACATGTTAAGATTTGTAGATCGAACAGAGATTGGTCAAGATTGAATCTAGGGTTCATGTCCACAGAAGAAGCTTCGAGAGGATTTTCTGATTATTCATTCTGAAGGAGTGTTTTACAAAATATCTATACTCCCAAATATATTGGGCTAAAAAATAACTAACTAAAGAAAACAAAGAAAAATGGAGTCTGTTAATAAATACAACTGGGCCAAGTCTAACTAACTAATATGCCCAAATCTACCCAACTAACATCAGGCCCAAATCAGGTAACTCCAACAGAGATATGCTCAAGTGAGAATAAACAGACTTTTGAAGGTGCCGGGAGTTTCAAGTGATGAAGGCAAAAAATTAATGAATTACATTCTTAGTTTAATCTTTTTTGCTGGTATTATGACAATTGTTTCGAATTTATTTTGAACAGGAAAGATCTCTTCGTATAAAGTTTGGTGAAGTTGAAGAAAACTGGATGTAACGATCCGGTCGGTCATTTCATGAGTTACCGCTCTATTTCCCCTATTCTGCTTCTTATTGCTTTATTTATCGGTTCTATATGTGATCGGGTTGGTTGGCCCGGGTTCGGAAAGGATTTGGTAAGGTTTGAGACACTAAGTCTCTTTTAAGAAAGCTTAAGTTGGAAAAGTCAACCGGACGTTGACTTATGTGTTAGAGGGCTCGAATGTGAATTATGATAGTTCGGATAGCTTTGGAGGTGATTCGGGACTTAGGAGCGTGATCGGAATGTGTTTTGGAGGTCCAGAGTAGATTTAGGCTTGAATTGGCGAAATTGAGTTTTTGGCGTTTTCCGGTTGTTAGGTGAGATTTTAATATAGGGGTCGGAATGGAATTCTGAGAGTTGCAGTAGTTCCGCTGTATCATTTGGGATGTGTGTGAAAAATTTCAGGTCATTCGGACGTGGTTTGGTTGGATTTTTTTATCAAAAGCGTAATTTAGAAGATTTTGGAATTCTTAGGCTTGAATTCGATGCGAATTTGGTGTTTTGATATTGTTTTGAGAGTTCCGAAGGTTGGAACAAATTTGAATGATGTTATGGGATATGTTGGCATGTTTGGTTGAGGTCCCGAGGGCTTCGGGTGAGTTTCGGATGGTCAATCGGACCATTTCATGTTGTTGAGAATTGCAGAAAAACTGCTGAAGTGTTGCAGAGAATTAGACCTTCGCGTTCGCGAAGGGTTAGCTGGTGAAGGCTGAGATTTTAGCCTTCGCGTTCGCGAGGAAGGCTCTGCGTTCGCGAAGGGCTGGGTGACTAGGCATCGCGTCCGCGAGAAGGGGAGCGCGTTCGCGTAGAGGAAGTTGGGCAGCTGAGTTTCAGGGTGTTTGTTTATCGCGTTCGCGGGAGAAGGAGCGCGATCGCGAAGGGTCAAGCTGAGGAGACATCGCGTTCGCGAGTGGCTGGTCGCGATCGCAAAGAGGAATATTTGGTCAAAGTTGGTTTGTGCTTCGCGAACGCGAGGCTTTGACTGCGTTCGCAAAGAAGGAATAAAATGTCTGGGCAGAATGTTTTAAAGCTCACTTCCGCGATTTTTAGTCTAACTTCCACCATTTTTGAGCGATTTTGGAGCTTTTTAAAGAGGATTGAAGAGGGATTCAAGGGGAAACACTTGGAGGTAAGATTTATGGACTTAACACTCGATTCTAATGTGGATTCTACCTAATTAATCATGGAACTTAAGCCTAATATTGAAGAACTAGGGCTTGGAAACATAGGCCTTTGATTGAGGATTTGAAGGACCAATTGTGGTCGGATTTTGGAACTTTTGATATGAATGAACTCGTGGGGAGATAAGGAATCTATTGATGTGAATTTTATCGAATTCCGAGACGTGGGCCCGGGGGTCGGGTTTTGGTAATTTCGAGAATTTCATTGTTTTTCGATTTCTTTCGAGTGGGCTTCGTTCCCTTAGCATATTTTGATGGTTACGTTCTGATTTTTGGTAGATTCGGAGCATCCGGAGGCCTATTCGAGGGGCAAAGGCATCGCGAGCTAGAGTATGGGGCCGGATTGAGGTGAGTAATGATTTTAAATGTTGTCCTGAGGGTATGAAACCCCGGATTACACATCGTTAGGCTATGTTGAGGTGACGCACACGCTAGGTGACGAGCGTGGGGTCGTGCACCGTTGGGGATTGTGACTCGGTCCATCCCGAACGACTATTTTACTGCGTATTTGACTGTAAATTGCTTGATATTATTATGTTTTTGACTAAATGCCATATTTGGGCTTCGTGCCAACTATTTGGACCCTTAGGGGATATTACTGCTATTTTCCTTACCGTTTTGACTCTATACTTGTACTCATTCATGTTATAGTTTACTGTTTTCACAACTCAGCCATGTTTACTCTACTTTAACGTTTTAAATGATATTTCAAAAGATATTTTGAGGTGAGCATCATGTTTACTGTTGCCCGAGGGGCTTATGAGATTCTGACTGAGTAAGGCCGAGGGCCTGTGTTGTGAGGATACTTTTGGGTCGGGCTGCACGCCGCAGCGGTGATATACTGATTATGATAATGAGGCCGAGGGTTGTACGCCACGAGGTAGCTTGTGATTGATATGAGGCCGAGAGCCTGTTGATGATGCCACGAGATGGCTTGATATTGCGCTTGGGCCGTAAGGGGCCCCTCCCGGAGTCTGTACACCCCCAGTGAGCGTAGGTACCCATTGTGATATGAGATATAGCCCGAGGGGCTGGTATTGTTCTGTGATATTGCCCGAGGGGCTGATTCTGTTGTTATTGTGTCCGAGGGGCGGTTCTTATGTGTTTACCTTTTCTAGCTGCGTTTCCTTTATTTGTTTAACTGCTTAAAAGGTGCTTTATGGGATTTCACTATTTAATTGCGTTTACTGGTTTTATCCTGCCTCTTATAGCTTGTTGTTGTGTTTAACGTGATTTTATATCGCTCAATCTTCATTTATTGTTATTACCCACTGAGTTGGGGTACTCACTTTACTCCCTGCACCCCTGTGTGCAGATTCGGGCGCTACAGATCCTGCTAGCGAGGGTTGAGAGCTGTCCAGCAGATTTTCGGAGATTCACTAGGTAGCTGCCCGGTGATTCGCAGCCCAGTGCATTCTCCCTCTATCTTATTTCCTTCTGTTTCAGTAATGTAGTAGTGGAATAGACTTTCAGACTTGTAGTATTATTTTAGATGCTCATGACTGGTGACACCCGATGTCGGGCTGTGTTTTATTCCGCAAACTGTATTGTTTACCTTATTTTGGGATTTTATTATGTTAAAGACTTAATATTTATTATTTTAATTGCTTAAAATGAATTGGAAGTATGTCGGCTGGCCTTGTTTTCACGAGAGGTGCCATCACGACCGGGTCCGGGTTTAGGGTCGTGACACTGGAATTGCCAACTCGAGAACAACTGTTACACATGCATTATTTCACCCAAATTTTTTCTTTTATTGTTGTGATGTTGTGCTTTTACTCACTGTGCCACTGAGTTTTTTCCAAGAAATTTTTTCGTATTTCTTGTGATGTGTGTTTTCCTGTTTGTTAAAACTTCTTGACTGCTGCTTGAGTTTAGGATTATTTTCCGGCATCTGCAAGTACTGCTCTCTTTCAAATCATATTCTAGCTAATGTGTTTGCAGTGAACCATCTGTCGATAATGTCTATGGTGTATGTGCATCTTCATCACTGTTTCTTAAGGTCATAATTTTTCTTCCATGACAAGATATCTTAAAGCTATTAGATAGCTACTGAAAGCATATCAAATTGTGAACGCTGATCGGTACGGAGAATATGGAGTTTTTGCAGGTTGAGAGTTATGGTTGTTGCTGAATTAAAGCCAAACAAGCAACACTACTGAAATGTGAAAGAGAAGGAAATAGTGGGTGGTAGAAGCAGAATCCTCGAAGCTTTCATTAGTGCAATACCTATGTTTCAAATTCTTATTTTCTTAAGTTGTTATTTGCAATGTTTTTGTTTCTTAAATAGGAGTAGTATAATCTTATAAGTACTCTAATTTTCAACACTTCTTCTATTTAGTATATTTGTTTCTTGAATGTCTAATTTTCTTCTATCAAGTTCAGTTTTGAAGGGTTCAAATGATGTTATTTCCTTCAAAAGATACTTGTATTAGTTTCCTACTGCAAAAGGCCATGTCCATTATCCAATGTAAACCTTCAGATAGTAAGATTGAAAAGTCGTTTCATCTGGATGATGCTAAAGGTTCATATTTCAATTTTTGGAATTTTAAGCTAAACTCTCGGAAAAAGGAAAACAGAAGTCTATATTGGAGATGGATGGCGTAAATTCATTGCTGATAATTGCTTAAAGAAGGGAGATCGTGTAATGTTTGAGGTTGTCACTAATGGAGAAACACCAATATGGAAATTTCAAGTTATTACTGATGGAGAAACTCCAATCAGTGATCAAGGCAGGTATTCTCTTCTTGGAGAAAATCTTTGTTTTGGTCTTTTTGTTTGGTTTCTCAAGTGTGGAAAACATATTTTTACATTTTTGACTTACATAATCTAGTGTTTTGTAGGTAATATTTCTGGAGAGAATGCAAGCATCCTTCGAGAGGGTGACTGAACAATGAAGCAATTGGTAGAAAAAAGAAAAATTAGAGCAATTGAATATCTCTCTCTCTCTCTCTCTGGAAAAGAAATTTTACATTAAACAATACTAATGTGAAGGTGCTGTGTTTTGTCCATTGGATCATGAAGAGTGTGATATATTCATGTATTAACTAGCTAAAAAATTGCTAATGGGGCAAAAAGTTCAACTGAAATTGGGTTGTTTTCAGTTCATTTTTTTAACTGCCAAATTTGTATAAAAAATAATTATCAGTTCTAGTTCAGTACCATATGTCCTAGATCATCAAGACTCGTGACAAGTCCATCCATCAGACATTACTGGTGATCCGCCGAATTTTGTGAACAATTTGTTGCAAGATCCTCCCATTCCGTGGGGTCTGGGGAGAGTAGTGTGTACGCAGGCCTTAGCCGTACCCTGATAGGGCAAAGAGGTTGTTTCAGATAGACCCTCGGCTCATGAAGATGAAAATAAACAAGGAGCTGAACACTATTTCTAACACAACTTATTTAAATGGAGCTAAAGCCTAAACAATGACTCGAAAATAGTCTATTTGTGTAAATCTCCCATTTTTCAAAGACATTGATTTTATTTTTATAATTATGAAACTTTTGTTCTATAATTGTGTTTTCCTTTTTTTTTCTTTTAAATCGAGATTTTCACAATATAAATGTGGCGCTGTTAGTCCACACTTCATACGTCGCCAATTTGCACTACTGCCTCGCTCTTTTTCCATCATTTCTTTGTGTTCTAATTTGATATGCGATACTCTTAGTGAAGTTCCATTAAACCCAGAGTTGGAACTCGAGATTCATGTTTTTAAAGAAATATTTTATTAGTCTATTTGGTTAAGTTTTTTTTGGGCCAAAAATAATTTTTTGTTAAACTTTTTTTTTTTCAAAGTTAAAGGTGTTTTCCTAGCTTTTAGAAGGAAAAAAAAAAGTAATTTTGAGTAGAAGTAGAAAAAAATAGTTTCTCCTAAAAATCACTTTTTCTGAAAAATACTTTTGGAAAAATTACACTTAAAAGTACTTTTTAAATATTTGATCAAACACTAAATATTATTCAAAAGTATTTTTTCAATTAGTTAATCAAATACGTACTACTTTTGAAAAACCACTTACAAAATAAGCTGATTTTACTGCCTCTCTTGGACTCCCTTTGAAAATTGAATAAACTCGCCACTGTAAATATTTTGTACCTTACCCATTGTTTCATTTCTTTGCTGTAGCATTCTCTCTGATTGACGGTGAGCTTACACCTAATCCGACCATTTCTGTTCAACCATTTTTTGGGATTCTGGAAAATCTGGTATTTGATTGACAGTGCATAGTGATTTTACTGCTCTACATAGCCCACTGACTTGAATCAGAACCAGAGTATTATCCCAATAGGGTATTTATACATGTACAATTGTTCTAACTAACAGCTTGTTTGGATGGTTGTTGCGCATCGTTTCATAATGTAACGTATCGTACTGTATTGTATTGTATTGTACTGTATCGTTTGATAAAAATAATTTGAGAATAGATTGTGTCGTTCGCCATCATTTTATGATATCACGCACCAGCAATATGAAGAATAAACTTGTAATATTATTAAAAAAATTATGATACAGTGTAAAATTATTATATAAAAAGGTAGGGTAAATGATAAAATAAAATTATTTAATAATAGTGAATGGTGAGATTGAGAGAAAAAGACAAGGTAACGACACGACCACACCAAATCGGTCGTTACATAAAGTGGCACATTTCGTCGTTATGTAACGACTGATTTAACGATACAATACAATAAAATTTAAGTATCAATCAAAACAAACATCGTATTTAAAGTAACAATACTATACAATACAATGGGTAACAACCATCCAAACAAGCTGTAAGGAAACCGGAGCAGAAAAAAAAAAAAGAAATACTACTATAGTACTAATGCATAAGAATGTGGGCATGAACATTCTGTAACACCTTTCAAGTTTCATTTACCAAATTGTTGCAACCTTGACCTAAAGTCAAGTTTCAACAACAACAACAAACCCAATAAAATTTTATATATAGGATTTGCGGAGGATAGTGTGTATGCAGTTTTTACTCCTATCTTGAAAATTCCACATGTAGAATTTTGGGAAGGGTAGTGTGTACATAATTTTTGCCTCTACCTTGAGAAATCTCATATGTGGAGTGTAGAGAGTATAGTGTGTATGTAGTTCTTAGCCCTAGCTTAAGAAAGTAAAAGAGGTTGTTTTCGGTAGACGGTCGACTCAGAAAGCTGAAGTCTAAGTTTCAACTACCAATTATATCAAATACAAAACATAACCACATAAAAGTACAATTTTTTGGCTGTCATGAAAATTCCTCCAAAGAAACCTCATTTTCTCAAACCTATGCTGCCAGGTTTCAAGCATGATACTGTGAGTAATCCTTTTCGTTATTTATAATTCCTTTGTTTATTAATATGTATTATGTGTGTATATGGTGGAAGAATTTATATAAAAAGAAAACACTCAAAATCATAACCATAGTGCATGTGCATACGATCATTTTCTAATTGTTTAACTAAGTAGATATTACAATGTCATGGCCTAAACAAAGCAACATAATGATTTGGGACAATGCTAATCTAAGTATATTGTTGTACTGCAGAAAATTCCTGTTGGTTTCTTGAAGTATCTGAAGGGATACGACCATATTGAACATGCAATACTTAAAAGGGACGGTAAGAAGTGGATGGTGAAGGTGAACGGCCGTCGATTCGAAGATGGTTGGGCAGAATTTGCGGAGGAGCATGATTTGCAATTGGGAGATATGTTGGTGTTTAGACATGAAGGTAATATGGAGTTTGAGGTAATCATATTTGATTCAAGTCAATGTGATAGAGAATATGCAGAGTATGTGCAACAAGAAGAAGGGGAAGTCCATACTCTTGAAGAGACTTCCAAGAATTTTGAATTTAAAGGTAATTAAGATCTTTATAGTCCATTAGTTGTTCTTGATGTATTTCCAAGTTAATTCCCTTAACTTATAGTAATATGTTTTAATTTATTTAAATGAAGAGATAGCCAAAAGTTGTCTCCCTCGTGTGACCTATAGGCCGCAGATTCAAGCCGTGTAAGCAGCCACTAATGCTTATATTACAATAGACTGTCTACATCACATTCTTGGGGTGCGGCCCTTTCCCGGACCCTGCGTGAAAGCGGGATACCTTGTGCACGGGGCTGTTCTATTTTGAAAAGTTAGCTAAAAGATGGGGTGGATGTTTAGATGATATTCATGTTTTATTTTAAATTATTTTGTCATATTTAATTTCTTGATATGGATTTGTCTAAAATTAACAATGCAAGGCTTTTCCCAATGCAGATGCTGCTATTCACAACTCTGTTGGTCAATCATATTTTATATGCACTGTTAAACCATATTGCCTTACAAATGGTCTCTTGGTAAGTCTCCAACTCATTCCCTCCTAATTAATCCTTCAAGAACCTTCAGGCTGAAATACGAAGCATATTAATGTTTGATGATATGTGCAAATGGTTATAAACCTTTCAGCGCATTCCTAAACAATTTGCACTGGCGAATGGTCTCGCCAACAAGAAATGCGGTTTGATTATCAGAGATGAAAAACAAAGGTCATGGGATTTAAGGCTAACTACCTATGGTTCTCAAGTCTATATAGGAGGTAGATGGGGTGAATTCCGTGCTGCAAATGACATAAAGGTGGGAAATCATATAATGTTTGAGGTTGTTACTAATGGAGAACAACCAATATGGAAATTTCATGGTAAGTTTTCTGGCTCAATGGTGTCTTTACTTTGTTATATTCACCTTGAAATTTATTTTTGTGTTTGTCTGTTCAAAACTGTAATAAACATTACTATTAGAGTGGGGTAGAGTAGGAATGAACTGCTTGTCTCCTCATATGGTCTCGGGAAATCCTCCTTTCATGAGCTAGTTTTTGGGTTGAGTTACGTTAAATGGCATATCTTTATATGCAACGCCAGGTTCATCCCTGTTTGGGGCCCCGTGTTATTGCACACGCTTCTTGGGTGTGCGGAGGTGTTAGAGTGGATTACAGTCCCATATTGGTTGAGGAATGAATTGTATATCTCCGTATATGATCTTGGCCCGTCCTCCCTCATGAGCCATCTTTTGGGGTGACATCGCCGCTATCAACAAAAAAAAAAAAAAAAAGAAGATTGGGTGGATGTTTACATACTATTCGTATTTTAATTTGTGATCTCTTTGTCGTACTTAGTTTATTGACATGGGTTTGCATGCAATTAACCGTGTAACAGACAAACCAAATCCCAGCATCAAGTCGTTGGCATTTCCCCACGCAGAACCTGCTACTCACAAGCCTTTTGGTTATTCCCATTTCGTATGCACTGTCAAACCATATTGCCTTTCAAATGATCTCTTGGTAAGTCTTTTTTATAAGGATGATCTCTTGGTAAGTCTTGTTTTAGGTTAAATTAGTCATGCGCAGCATTTTCTTCTTTTCTCTTTGTTTTGGGACTATTTTTGGTGAAAATAGGAAGAGCACAAGTGTTTCAATAATATGTACTAAAAGTTATGAAAATTTTCAGTGCATTCCTAGACAATTTGCACATGCAAATGGTCTCATCAACAAGAAATGCGATTTGATTATTAGAGATGAAAGGCAAAGGTCGTGGAGTTTAAGGTTACGTTCTTTTGGTACTGGTGTATGTATTAAAGGCGGATGGCATGAATTCCGTGATACAAATTGCTTAAAGGAGGGAGATCAGATAGTGTTTGAGGTTGTTACTAATGGAGAGAAACCAATATGGCAATTTCGTCGTAAGTTTTCTAATTTAAGCAGCCTCTTACATATTTTTTCGATCATCTGATATACACAGATACTATAACTCTGTTTAGAGTTTAGACAATCATTTATGGGCACTCTAAACATGCTTTTAGCTTAATTCGACTTCAAACCTAAGTCATTAAAGTTCTTTTTTTCTCCTTTTTTATCAAGTAAATGAAGTTCCATTAAAAATGCTTCAAGAAGATGCTGGATATTACAGAAGTGAGCAAAAATTCAGTGAGCTCCTCTACAATGATGTCCTATATGTATTATAAAGAGCTAACAACGTCAAAAAGTTGTTATTTATACTATGAAGCCTACACTAGCAAAAAAGGTTTATAATGCATCTAGTTTTTAGCGCATGTGTGGGAGTTAAAACTCCATTAAAGCATCTGCGATTTCTTTCAGTTTATATACTCCAACCAGGGGCGAAGCCACCTTTTGCTAAATTAACCACCCTTCCTCGAAATATTATGAAAAATTATACTGTGTATATAAGTAAAATATTAAATTTTGGACGTATATAACATATATTGAACACTCTTTGTCGAGATCTTTTTTTTACTTCTTTCAAGTCTGAACACCCTTGGAAAAATTTCTGACTTCGCCACTGACTCAACAAATGCAAGCTGACACCATCCTCCATGTTTTCCGAATGGATAACTTTAACTTTCCGCAGACCCGAATTCTTTTAGGCTTCTCTAATCTGACCCCAAAAAGGCAAAGGAACATACTCCATATTTCTTTTGAAGTCATTAAACTTTATTTTCATGACATAGTTCTCGTCCTCTTAATCCTTTTCCTTTTACGGCTGAGATGAGCTTAGATGGAATGGCATGGACAGCCTATATTGCCGACCTCAACTTGTCGTGGGTTTGAGCCATAGCTATTGTAAGCCTAAAAATCTTCAAGAAAGTTCTGTATAGGGAGAGCCAGGCCCCTTCTAATTTGGACAGTATTCCTATGTTCTTTTTCCTTTTCTTGATTGTTACCCTTCACCATTTCTTTTTTCTTTCTTTTATGCTTTTTCTCATTTTTTCTGTATAAGGAACAACAGTCATTAGGATAAAACAATGAACATGACTGCTCCAATGAACAAGTATCTGTTAAATAATAACCCTCATTTTAACATTAAACCATATTGTATTAACGAGCCAGCCTTGACAACTTCAATTCAGAAGTTGTATCCACTGTGTAAAAGTGTTGACGTATGTTACATAACATTGTACATATAAATATCTGGAATTCGCCTATAGTACCATAATAAGAATTCTTTATCTTAGCTTAGTGTGATTGAATGGTGTATCACAATTATCATCTCTGATCATAATTGTGTAGTTATACTGTATCATTTATTTAAAAAAGTATGTATTAATTACATGTATAAGAGCTTGAACATTTTTTAACACTTGAAAGAATGTCCACACAATGCAGTGAACATTTTAAACCCTTTGGATTTCTAGCAGATATTACATATATTGACTTGCATAAACTAATGTATTTTGTAGGCAATATTTCTGGAGAAAATGCAAGCATAATTCAAGAGGTTGACTGAACAATGAAGGAGTTGGTAGAAAAAGGAAAATTGAAGCAATTGGATCAACATTTGGTGCACAACCTTAACAAATTATATGTTATATTTTCTTCCGGAAACTCCATGTAATGAATCTTTAGGTTTGGAACCTTAAGTACAGTGGTCGGGGAGTGGTCTGGGTAACAGCAGGAAAAGTGCTCGTGGGTGAAACATCAGGCGAAAGTGCTATTTCTTGGCCATTGGATCAACAATGATGTAATATGTTCATGGAGAAATTACTTTTTTCAACTTCTTAAAAAGAGCTTGTACTCAAAAGTAATTTTTCACTTGTAAAAGCTTTGATCAAACCCCTTAACTTTGGAAAAAAAATACTTTGGCCGAAAAAAATTTCTAGCCAAAAAAAGTTTGGCCAAACAGGTTATTTATTTACTTGCAAAAATCTATCAAGTCAAGTGGAATGTTGGGCACCACCTAAAGCTGGCAATTGGGTCGGATCGGGACCGGCCCGCACCCACGGGTTAAACGAGCTTAACGGGCTGGGACCGTTTGGCCTGCGATTGGTGGGCTAGTGCTGGTCTCGTGGGCCGATTTTACCATTTATGACCGTTTGGCCCGCCACGGGACTGGACCGGTCCCATGACGGGCCAAACGGGCCCTGTCACGATCCGAATTTTTCACCGCCGGGATCGTGATGGCGCGTAACATCACACTTGCCAGGCAAGTCAACGTTAGAGGTTATCTAGCCATTTCTTTCCATTTTTAGCAATCATCAGCAAACAGGTAAAATGAAGCGAAATAACTGCAAGATGTATAGATATCGATTTTGTTTACATAATATTTCTACCCAGAGATTCGGTGTCACAATTCACGAACACACTGTGATTTTTCTACAAACATCAGTCTGAAAGAAATTACAACTGTTTTGGAAATAAAGAAAACAGTAATATAGAGATGTAGAAGGGGACGCCAGGGCCTGCGGACGCCAGCAGGACTACTTTTGGCAGAGGCCATCCTTCCAGGCCGTTTCATTCAACCCTTCAGGTTTCTCACGGTGCTTCAGGTGGTCGTGGCCCTCATATGCAGTATTTCGATCAGCTAGCCTACAGTGCACCACCAACACCTATCAGTGCACCTCCGCTTCAGAGTTTTCAGGGTGGTTACTCAGGTCGCCAGCGTCAGTTTCAGGGTAAGCAGTCTCAGCAGCCGAAGTCTTGTTCTACTTGTGGTGATCCGAGGCACATTGCCAGGTATTGTCCTCGAGCATCAAGCAGTTCTCAGTATCAGGGTTCTCGTGCCATGATTTCGGCACCAAGTGTTTCACCGCCTGCTCAGCCAGCTAGAGGTAGGGGTCACACAGCTAAAGATGGAGGTCAGGGCATTAGAGGTGGAGGTCAGGCCACTAGAGGTGGAGGCCAACCAGACAGGGCTCGTCCTCGAGATGTAGTTCAGAGTGGTGGGGCCCAGCCCCGATGCTATGCTTTTCCAGCCAAGCTTGAGGCTGAGTCATCTGACGCGGTTATCACAGGTACGATTTCAGTTTGTAGTAAAGATGTCTCGGTGCTATTTGATCCGGGTTCTACTTATTCATATGTGTCATCCTATTTTGCTTCATATTTGGTTGTGCCATGTGATTCATTGAGGGCCCCCGTGTATGTGTCCACATGATGTTTAGCTTAAAGCATATATATTCGCATGTATATCGCCTCATATCTTACTTTTGTTACGTGGATTTAGGATGTGAAATGTATTGATTTATATTAATTTGATGTGTTTTTATGTGTAGGAATGATCCGGGAGCAACTGGGGACGAAACGTGCAAAATTAGAGCCAAAACGAAAGAAATCGGAGAACTTGCGAATTTGGGCGCCACAGGTGGCGCCCAGCCCTACCTGTGGCGCCAGAAACAGAATGTAAAATAATGGAGCGCCGAGGAGGGCGCCTGGCACTAGCCAGGGCGCCAGTGACGGGAATTTTATCCAACTTTGCACGGGAAAAGGTTATTTCGGCCCTAGAGCTACCCAACACGTATAAAAGCAAGACTAAACATATTTTTTGGGGGGAGGACGCCACTTTTGAGGATATATAACATACTTTGAAGGGAGTTTCACGTGGAGGAACACACACCGCGCTTGGAGGAGGCTTTTAACTAGTTTTTCTTCTCTTCTCTTCCGTGAATCTCATAGTTTATTAGTTCTAGAGTTTTGGGTGCTACATGAATGTTGTGGTTTGAAGCTTAAATTGTTCTTATTATTTTATCATATTGGTTTATTTATTCAATCTTGCGGTTAATTATTTAATTGCTTGATTACCAATTGAATACTATCTACAAATCTAGGATTGAACTCGGGAGAGGGAATTCTAGATTGCATATAAGATTGAATAGAGCAAGATCTTAACTCTTAGGGGGAGCGGATTTGCGGTTAGGATAGGAGTATACCTAATCGCCTTGCTTGGTTATTATAAGGGAATTATAAATGCGTTCTTGCTAATCCTAATTCCATAGGAATATAGGCGTTAGGTTAGCTTGAATAGGCGAGTTGTACTTCGGGAGAAGGATACGAGCAATATTAACCCTGTCAACCAATAAACCAGATAAATTAATTTGACGATTTAAGTGGAAAACTCAACGGGATTGTTGGCTAACCCATAGCTCTAGAATATTCTCTCCCATTGAATTCGTGTCTAAGTTCGCCAATTTGTTTCCTTTGTTTCTTAGTTTACTACTCTAGATTATCTTTAGTTAAATATTCATACTTTGAAATTCACTTGAATAGATTAATTGTTTGGGTTTAATTTAGTTGATAGTTAATCACAAGTCCCTATGGGTACGATATCTGGACTTACAATCCTATATTACTTGTCGACCACGTATACTTGCGTGTGCGTTAGGGAGCAACACCACACTTGTAGGGGATTCTATTGTTTTAGATTGTGTCTACCGTTCATGTGTGGTTATTATTGGGGGTGTTGAGACTAGAGTAGATCTCCTACTTCTCGATATGGTCGATTTTGATGTCATTTTGGGGATGGATTGGATGTCGCCTTATCATGCTATATTGGACTGTCTCGCCAAGACAGTGACCTTAGCCTTGCCGGGGTTGCCTCGATTAGAGTGGAAAGGGACTCCTGGTTATTCTACCAGCAGGGTTATTTCTTATATGAAGGCTCGGCGTATGGTCGAGAAGAGTTATCTAGCTTATTTGGCTTATGTCCGTGATTCTAGTGCGGAGGTTCCTTTCATGAATTCTGTGCCAGTTGTTCGAGAGTTTCCAGAGGTATTTCCTGCAGACCTGCCGGGGATGCCACCCGACAGGGATATTGACTTCTGTAATGATTTGGCTCCGGGCACTCTGCCCATTTCTATTCCGCCATACCGCATGGCCCCGCCAGAGTTGAAAGAATTGAAAAAATACTTGCAAGACTTGCTTGATAAGGGTGATATATTGAGGAGGAATAAGGGTGAAATGCTATTATATGGTGGGATCGGGTTGCGCGCCGCAACAGGAGGAATAAGGGTAATATATTGAGGAGGAATAAGGGTGAATTGCTATTATACGGTAGGATCGGGTTGCACGCCGCAACAGGAGGAATAAAGGTGGATTGATATGGAGTAATAAGGGTGAATATTTATATTGATATTGATTATATGGTGGGATCGGAATGTGCGCCGCATCAGTATGTGTGTTTATGTATCATTCTTCTACTGTGTAAGTATTCTGTAGGCTTTTTTTTTTGCAATTCACTTAAGGATCGCTTGTAGTTGCATACTGATAAGACATTTGAGTTCCGTGTTCGTTTCTTGCAAGTTACTGCTTTATTTTGTCCTGTCCTTTTTTCTGCCTTTATTACACACTATATGCAGGTTATGTTGTAATTGCCCCGCCGTAGCCTCGTCACTACCTCGTCGAGGTTAGGCTCGGAACTTACCAGTACATGGGGCCGGTTGTACTGATACTGCACTCTGCACTTTTTGTGCAAATTTCGGTACTCGACTAAGTTGATCCCGAGTTAGCTGCTGGCTTCATCTGATCGGAGACCCAAGGTAGAGATGTGCCGGCGTTCGCAGATCCTGGAGTCCCCTTCCAGTCATTTCAGTTTACTATTCCTTTCATTCGGAAACAGTTGTATTTCCTTCAGACACTTATTGTAGTTAAATCTTAGTATTTCGTGGATTGTGACACCAGATTCTAGGATAGTTATGTATAAGTGTTAATTGGGTTATTATAGACTTCCGCACTTCTTTAATCTGTTATGTTTTAATTGTTGTTATTTATGGAATTGTTTAAGAGTTAGCGTATTAATCTCTAATTGTTGGCTTGCCAAGCAACTGAAAGGTTAGGAGCCATCACGGTCCCGATGATGGAAAATTCGGATCGTGACAGGGCCAACGAATGTTTTTTTTTTAAAAAAAAAAGAGACGTTGGCTTTTTTTTTTAAAAAAAGGCGTTGGCCCAACGGCCAAATGATGAAAAAGTCTTTAAAAATAGTCATTTAACCCCACAACTAATTTTTAACCCTAAACTTTTTATTATTACACTTTTTTCCTTTTTTCTACTATAAATACCACCTCATTCTTTCATTTTCCTTATAAATCAATATCAATCTATCAAAATCTCTCTTTAATTTTCTTCAATACTTTCCATTGTTTACTTTAACAAAAAAAAAGTGAAAAAATTGTGAGTTTGCTATTATTGCTTACTTTATCAACAAAATAGTCTAAAAATATTGAGGTTGTTAGAATTTGTGAAAAATTGTCAAATTAAAAGTTTAAATTTCAATTTAAAAATTAGTAAGTAACTTGTATGTAATTTGAAAGTCAAACGGTCCCAACGGCTATTTTTGAAAATTAGCCGTTGGGCCAATGGCCATAATCTTAAAACCTGCAAATTAGGAGTTTAAATTTGAATTAAAAAGTAAGTATGTAACTAGTATGCAATTTGCAATCAAATTCTACAGTAAAATTACAAGGTATTGCCTTAGATATTTTTTTAACATCTTTTTGTCTCAAGTTGTATTTAATTAAAAAAAATCAAAAATAAATACCCCCTCATTCTTCCATTTTTCTTACAAAATCAATATCGATCTATCAAAATCTCTCTCAAATTTTCTTCAATACTTGCTACAATGGTTTATTTTATAAAAAAAAAAATAGTAAAAAAAATTGTGAGTTTGCTACTATTGCTTACTTTATTCAAAAATATATTACAAAAATATTGAGGTTGTTAGAATTTGTTAAAAAATAGTCAAATTAGAAGTTTAAATTTCAGTTCAAAAATTAGTAT